ACTACGCTTGAAGGTATAGCCATTAGTTACTTTGAATTAGATGCGGTCCTCAGGGAACTTCCAGGACCATGGGGCCCATTCCAGGTAAGGCGGGCTAAAGTTTCTCCCTGGCTAGATAAGGACCTGGGGTGTCATTCATTTGGACGATAATACAGCCTGGCTGGCAGGTTTGGATGAATTTAGGATGTTTGGGCATACCAGAACTATCCAAAGGGATCCTTCTCGTTTTTTCCACGAGGACATTTCGCGGGACGGTCTACCCGGACGGGCTGGCTGGATCCTCGGCGAGTTGCCCCTCAGACTGAAGGGACAGACGCTATCTGCGTTTTCCTTGTTTGGGTCCCTGGAGTTCGTGTTCAAACAAGGAATATTGACCCCCTGCGGCTTGAGGTGTAGAGTCCTGGAGGGCGGATCGGACGCAAGGGGGTACCTCCTACATTTCCCCCCTATCCAAGTTTCTCATACGATTGGAATAGTTTTCCGGGAAGACCCTAGGCCCATGGAGGAGGACCCATTAAGCCCCGTCCAGTTTCAGCCGGCATACAGTCTGGTTTGCTCAGTGATGGACGTTTCCCTCCAAGGGTGTTCGACACGGAGACGCTGCGAAGGCCCGTCCATTGTTGTTTTCAGGACCTTACTACAAGTGTCTCGGTCTGCTGGTACCTTGGTTTTATGACCTCCGGTTCGGCCGTGCCGAGACTAGTGCCCGGATTCCCTGGACCTGTCCCACTTGATCTCGGGGACCGTAAGACGTTTGCATGCATGGTGACCCTGACGGAGTTGGGTCTAGTACAGATTAACAGAAATTTTGTAAACACTGTTACAGGGTGCGATTATTGTTTGGTCGTTTTATTGACCGGGGACTGTCGTATTACTTAGATTAGGTAGGGCGGACGATGTGTCTCACTCTGTATGGATCTCCCTTCAAGCTAGACGTGCGGGTTCATAGGTGTGAGTCCTCTTGATTCCCGAGGATGGTCATTCATTTCCCCAAGGGGTACACGCAGTGGCGTACACATGATCCATGGGGCCCCGGTGCGAAAATTGATCCTTGGGCCCCCCCGCGCTTACTCGGCGCGGGTCGGGGCCGCAACACATGGCGACGGGCACCTGGTCGCAGGGCTGCGACCCCGCGACCGCGGTATGCGCACACACTTAAAGGACCACTACAGACACCCTGATCACATCAGCTCAATGAAGTGGTCTGGGTGCCAGGTCCCTCTAGTTTTAACCCTGCAGCTGAAAACAAAGCCGTTTCAGAGAAACGGCTATGTTTCACTGGGGGTTAATCCAGCCTCTGGTGGCTATCTCATTGACAGCTGCTAGAGGAGCTTCCACGATTCTCACTGTGAAAATCACAGTGAGAAGACACTGTACGTCCATAGGAAAGCATTGAGTAATGCTTTCCTATGGGCGGTTTAAATGCTCGTGCGCCTCTTGCCGCGCATGTGCATTCGGAGCTGAGAGGCGGAGGGATCCCCAGTGCCAAGGGAGTCCGACGCTGGAGAAAGATAAATGCTAAAGATACACACACACACTCTCACAAACAGACGCATACACACTAGCTAACAGACACACACATTTACTGACAGAGACACACTCAGCGACAGACATACATACACACTCACTTACAAAACATACACTTTCACTGACAAACACACACTCACTAACAGACATCAAATACACTCAGTAACAGACACACACAGTAACACACTCACTAGCAGACACACACCCAATAACAGACACACTCACTGACACACACACTAACACAAACACTAAAACACACACTAACACACACACAAACACACACACAAACATACACACACTAACACACACACATACATACATACACTAACACACACACACAAACACACACACACATACATACACTAACACACACACACTAACATACATACACACACTAACATACACACATACACTAACACACACATACATTCACTAACATACACTATCACTCACATACATACACTAACACACACACACATACATACACTAACACACACACATACATACACTAACACACACACACACACACACTCACACACTCACATACACATTTTTTTTTAAATGTAATCCCCCCAGCCTCCTTACCTTTTGGAGTGCTGGGGGAATTCCCTGGGGTCCAGTGGTGCTGCTGGGCGGGCTGGCTGGGTGGGTGGCCGGCGCGCGAGGGAGCACTTTCCCCCGTGTGCTCCCTCTTCAGCTCCCTTGCGCGCCGCATAGGGATGCCGGAGCCGGAAGATGACGTCATCTTCCGGCTCCGGTATCAGTGCGGTGCGCGAGGGAGCTGAAGAGGAAGCACTGAGTGCTCCCTCGCGCGCTGGCCGCCCAGACAGCCAGCCCGCCCGCCCGCCGGGGTCAGCAGAGCCAGCCTCGGGGGGCCCTGAGGTGGCTGCCTCCTGGGCTCCCCAGGGGAAGAGGCTGGCCCTGTGGCTACATACCGGGTCGCAGGGGCGGCCGGGCCCCCTGGTGGGCCGGGCCCGGTCGCAGCCGCAACCCCTGCGACCCTGGTATGTACGCCACTGGGTACACGTGTTGTTTGTCATGCCTCAATCGCCGGTTTTCATCGTTTTTTTTTCCATCTCCGACTCTGGATTTGTTCCCCTTATCATACCCTTTTTTCTTCTTTCAGATGGGTTAGGATGTTTGGACCTTAGTTGTCTATCGGCTCTAATTGGACCCGATGGTTTTACTCTTGTCTTGGTTGTGCACCCTTCTTTTTTATGTTGTGGTCGACACCACCGTTTGTTTAGATGGTTCTTTTCTTTTTATTTGCCCTTCATGTACCACACGGTGGTTGTTGGCATTGGCGGGGCGTATAGGTCTTTTTGTTCATTTAAGTCGGTACTCGGCAACTTCAGGCGCCGTCATGGCAGGCTTTTTTCTCCAGGACATTGTACACTTTCCTGCCGGTTACGGGAACTATCTTCGCTAACTTAGGTTGGTAAGGCGGATCGTGTTTCTTTGGGCTTTGCTGTCCGAGCGTTAAAACAGCAAATATGAAGCCTCCTGTCATGTTATAAAATTGTAGATTATATTAGCTTTAGTATAACTATAATCTTAATTTTATTAATGACAGGAGGCGAATATTTCCCTCCCAGTTTCTCCCTTCCCTGGTTTGTTGGTTGGTTTGACTGACTTTTGTTTATTCCTGGTCTCCTGGGCCAGTGGCGGATCCAGAGCCTGATCTCGGGAGGGGCACTTGTAGATTATTTAAAGAAATAATCCAGATACAATAACCACTAGAGCTCAGTGTAGTTGTTATGGTGTCAATAGTGCCGGGACCCACTCCCACAGTAAGTAGTCAAACTGTTTAAGAACAGTTTGACAACTTACCTGAGATCTGCTGGGAAATGGGGCTGTAGTAGGGCATAGGACCAGTGGTGTGTGTGAGTGGTGCAATGTGTAAGGGGTGCAGAGTGTGTGTGAAGGTTGTAGTGTGTGAGTGAGGGCGGCAGTGTATGTCAGGGATGCAGTGTATGTGTGGGACAGTATGTGTGTGTAACAGTTGCAGTGTGTGTATGGGAGGCAGTGTGTGTGTATGGGGGGTAGTATGTGTGTATGGGGGGCAGTGTGTGTGTGTATGGGGGGCAGTGTGTGTGTATGAGGGGCAGTATGTGTGTGTGTGTATGGGGGCAGTGTGTGTGTGGGGGCAGTGTGTGTGTATGGGGGCAGTATGTGTGTGTGTGAATGGGGGGCAGTTTGTGTGTGCAGTTTGTGTGTGTGTATTGGGGCAGTTTGTGTGTATAGGGGGCAGTTGTGTGTATGGGGGGGCAGTTTGTGTGTATAGGGGGCAGTTTGTGCAGTTTGTGTGAATTGGGGGGCAGTTTGTGTGTATTGGGGGCAGTTTGTGTGTATAGGGGGCAGTTTGTGTGAATGGGGGGGGCAGTTTGTGTGTATTGGGGGCAATGTATGTGTGTGTGGCTTTTTTTTTATTATATATATATATATTTTAATTTAATTAAAATAAATAAATATCCTATGTCCCCCCTCCCTTCTTACCTTTACTGGGGAGGAGGGGGGACATATTTCGATCCCTGGTGGTCCCAGTGGTGATTCCCTGGTGGTCCCAGTGTGGAGAGTGAACTCTAGCCCACGCTCCAGGGCTAGAGTTCACTCTTGCGAGATTTGGAGCGTTGCCGTGGTAACCGCGGCAACGCTCCAAATCTCACGAGAGGAGGACCCGGAGGAGCTGCAGACTGAGCTCTGGGTCCTATCTCTCACTCCTTCTCCCTCCGCCGCCGGCCGCCAGCACAGTGACTGTGGACCGGGGAGGGAGATCTGTGATCTCCCTTCCGGTCCGCAGGCACATTGCAGGGCTAGCACCTGCATGTGCTGGCAGAGGAGGGAGAGGGAGACCTGCGGATTTCTCGGGGGGGGCAATTGCCCCATTGCCCCCCCCCTGGATCCGCCACTGTCCTGGGCTAGGTTTGTTAATCTGGGGGAGTTGGGGTTTATCTGGGATATGGTACCGTCAGTATTAATGGTGGGGATTCATGTTATCTCAGTATCTGGGATAGTATACTGTCAGTATTGACGATGGGGATTCATGTTTTTCTCAGTATATTTCATTAGCTAATCAGTGTTTTCTACTCTGTTTATCTCGTTTCAGTTTAATGGTTCGGCTACAGTTCTTAGATCCGACTACTCTACAGGATAAAGGTCAAGGCTTCATCCACTGGTTCCACGTTTCCAATTTCGGATGGCATTCATCATTATCTTATGTTGTTTCTCTTGTTATTGTATTTGTGGTGTATCGTTCATGTACTTTATTTTGTCACAGCGTGAAAAAGGAATTGGGAGATGGTTGGGAGAAGCCTTTTATGGATTCCTGAGTTTTTTGTCTCTGGTGTTTTTCTCTCTATGTTAATGTTCTGCTGAGGAGTTCTAGTAAAGAGAGACAAGCAAATATTCGCCTCCTGTCATTAATAAAATTAAGATTATAGTTACACTAAAGCTAGTATAATCTACAATTATTAGTGATATTGCAAAATGTCTTGATGGTAAGGTATGTCTTTTTGCTGATGATACTAAGATATATAACAGGGTTGATGTTCCAGGAGGGATAAGCCAAATGACAAATGATTTAGGTAAACTAGAAAAATGGTCAGAGCTGTGGCAACTGACATTTAATGTTGATAAGTGCAAGATAAACCCAAGGGCAGAGTACAGAATATTTGATAGAGTTCTAACCTCAACATCTGAGGAAAGGGATTTAAGGGTAATTATTTCTGATGACTTAAATGTAGGCAGACAAGGTAATAGACCAGCTGGAAATGCTAGCAGAATGCTTGGTTGTATAGGGAGATGTATTAGCAGTAGAAAGAAGGAAGTGCTAATGCCATTGAACAGAACACTGGTGAGACCATAGGTCTGCGCAGCCTATTGCATAAGGGTGTGCACCCTAAAGCTCAAACACACACGCCACGTAAATATATATATATGTATATATATATATTTATATATATATATACACACACACACACACACCCTGCTGTGTGTGTGTGTGAGGGTGCTGTGTGTGTGTGTGGGCGCTGTGTGTGTGTGTGTGGGTGTTGTGAGTATAAGGGTGCTGTGTGTGTGTGTGAGGGTGCTGTGTTTGTGTGAGGGCATTGTGTGTGTGTGAGGGTGCTGTTAGTGTGTGTGTGTGTGTGTGTGTGTGTAAGGGTGCTGTGTGTGAGGGTGATGTGTGTGAGGGTGCTGTTAGTGTGTGTGAGGGTGCTGTGTGTGTGAGGGCACTGTTAGTGTGTGTGTGTGTTTGTGTGTGTGTATGTGTGAGGGTGCTGTGTGTGTAAGGGTGCTATGTGTGTGTGTGTGTATGTATGTATGTGTAAGGGTGATGTGTGTGAGGGATCTGTGTGTAAGGGTGCTGTTAGTGTGTGTATGTGTAAGGGTGCTGTGTGTGTGTGTGTGTGTGTGAGGGTGCTGTTAGTGTGTGCTGTGTGTGTGTGACGGTGCTGTTAGTGTGTGGGTGCTGATTGTGGGGGGATATTAACTAAACGGTTTAGTTAATATCCCCCCTCCCCTCTTACCTTTTGTAGGGAGGGGGGGCCGTGCTGCTAACATCCCTGGAGGTCCAGTGGAGAGTGAACGCTAGCCCTGCAGGCTAGAGTTCACTCTTGCGAGATCTGAGCATTGCCGCAGCAACACTCCGACCTCGCGAGAGGAATCCGGTGGAGCTGCTGGCTAGAGCTCCCCGCTCCTCTCCTGCCTCCCTCCCTGCCTGTGGGTCGGTGAGGGAGATCTTTGATCTCTCTCACCGGCCCACGGAGGGAGGCACATAGTGCGGGCTGCGGGGATAAGGGTGTGCCCAGGCACACCCGGCACACCCAGTGCGCACGCCTATGGGTGAGACCTCACTTGGAGTATTGTACGCAGTACTGGAGACCGTATCTCCAGAAGGATATTGATACTTTAGAGAGAGTTCAGAGAAGGGCTACTAAACTGGTTCATGGATTGTAGGATAATACTTACAAGGAAATGTTCAAGGAACTTAACATGTATAGCTTGGAGGCAGTGGCGTCTCCAGGATTCATACTTGGGGTGGCACATAAGGGGCCAGGGACAAAAGAAGGGGGGCACGTACATACACACACAGGGCTGGACAAATTCCTTTCGCCCTGGTGCCTGGCATTTGTCAGCCCTTTGCTAAGCCGCGCAGGAAACATTAGAGTCAGCCGCCGCGGGGAGCATGGAGACGCTGTGTGAGGGAGCAGTAACCTTCCTGCAGTTCCTCTCTTCTTCCTTGCGTGCTGTTTAGTGACATGACGTCACTCTGTCCCTGGCATCACTTCAGAGAGCGCACAGAGGAGCAGAGAGAAACAGCAGGAAGACTGGGAGTAGACATACTTGACGCCAGGGAATGATCCACTCAGCTCTCCCAAAGGCTCGGTGGATTTAAATAAAAATAGCAATTTGTGAGTGTGTGTGTGTGCTGAAAGTGCCTGTAAAGTGTGTGCGTGTGCATCTAGGGGCTGCATTGTGAGTATATATGTATTGAGGTTGCATTGTGTGCTTATCAAGGTGCTGTAGTTATTATATATATATATATATATATATATATATATATATATAGTGGTCCTTTAATATATTTATATATATATATTTATATATGAGATATGATGTGTAATGGGGTGACGCATGTATGTATGTATGCATGTGTTTGTGGGGGTAAAGGTATGTGGGGAGGAAGTGTGTATGTGGGTGAAGAGATGATGTGTGTGAGAGGTGCTCTGTGTGTGTATGCAAAGGTGTACTCTGTGTTGGTGGGAGTGTACTGTACGTGGGGGATTCACTGTCTGTGAGGATGTACTGTGTTCAGGGGGTGTAGAGAGTGGGACAGTGAAGAGCTTTACAATTTTTACTTTAATAATTGTTTACAAATAAAAAGAATAAAAATATTCCCCTTTCCCTCATTTTACCTTGCAGGGAGGGGGTGTCACAATTGGATCCATGGTGGTTGAGAAGGCTGCCTATCCATCAGGTACAGGGAAGGTCACGAAATGAGAGTTCTGTCTCTTGGAGCTCAAGCACTTACAGAGACTGACCCATAAAAACCCACAGATTGACCGATACAAACCCACAGACTGACCGATACACATACACAGACAGAACCATACACACACACACTCTGCCCCCCACACACAGACTGACCCATACATGCACACAGACTGCTCCCTTACACAGACTAACCCATACATGCACACAGACTGCTCCCTTACACAGACTAACCCATACATACACAGACTGATCCCCCCCCCACACACAGACTGACCCCCTACACACACAGACTGACCCTCCCCCCCCCACACACAGACTGGCCCACACACACAGACTGACCCATGCACACACACACACCCACACACACTGACCCCCACACAGACTGAACCCACACACAGAGACTGACCAACCCAACACAGAATGCCCCATACACACAAACTGACCCCCCACAGACTGACTCACCCCCTCACAGACTGACCCCCCATACACAGACTGACCTAAGCCCCACAGACAGATCCATACACGCACAGACTAACCCCCACACACAGACTAACCCACACCTCCAGAATGACCCCCACACAGACTGACCCCCACCCACACACAGACCCCCCACCCACACACAAACTGACCCCCACACACAGACTGATCCATACACACACAGACTGATCCATACACACAGACCCAGACTCCCCATACACACACACAGACTGACCCCCACACAGACACCAATACATACACAGACTGACCCCCCCACACCCATACACTCACAGACTGACCCCCCACACCCATACACTCACAGATTGATTCATACACTCACAGACTGACCCCCCTACACAGACTGATCCATACATACACAGACTGACCCCACCCACACCCATACACACACAGACTGACCCCCACACCCATACACACACAGACTGACCCATACACTCACAGACTGATCCCCACACACACACAGACTGACCCCCCACATACAGACCAATCCATACATGCACAGACTGATCCATACACACACAGACTGACCCCCCCACACACATACTGACCCCCTCCCCCCCCACACACACAGACTGATTAACACTTACCAGAAGCTCTGCCTCTGTGCAGAGTTGAGCTTTCTCTTCCTGTCTCTCCCCTGCTGCTGCTCTCTATGACCCAGGAGGAAGTCCTCCCAGCACAGCGCCCCCTCTGGCCGCAGGTAGGAAAAGTCCACCAGTAACTGTGCTGCTGCAGCGTGAGAAGGGATACGCAGTGCTCCCGACTTCACTTTCAATTGGGGTGGCACAAGGGGGGGCACTGCATGATGATGGGGGGGAGGGGCAATGGCCCCCTCTGGCCCTCCACTAGTGACGCCACTGCTTGGAGGAAAGACGAGACGGGGGATGTGATAGAAACATTTAAATACATAAAGTTAATCAACACAGTAAAGGAGGAGACTATATTTAAAAGAAGAAAAAAAACTACCACAACAAGAGGACATAGTCTTAAATTAGAGGGGCAAAGGTTTAAAAATAATATCAGGAAATATTATTTTACTGAGAGGGTAGTGGATGCATGGAATAGCCTTCCAGCTGAAGTGGTAGAGGTTAACACAGTAAAGGAGTTTAAGCATGTGTGGGATAGGCATAAGACCATCTTAGATATAAGATAGGGCCTGGGACTAATGAAAGTATTTAGAGAATTGGGCAGACTAGATGGGCCGAATGGTTCCTATCTGCCATCACATTTTATGTTTCTATAATTTGCTAGTTCTGAAGTTACAAATTAAGAAGGGAAAATAATTCTGCAACTGTTTCCACGTTAAAACTATTTATCAATTATCAGGTAAACTAACCATGACAGGAAAAACTTCCAGAAGGTAGGGTTCAGCGCTTAAGAGGTACTTTTTAGTTCATAAGACAGCTCAAACAACCCACGCCAAAGACTCTCTTATCCGGAAGAAGTACCGGATTGTTTGGCAGTAGTGCTTTGGTAAAACCTCTGATGATATATGAAACATAAAACAGGAGGACAGGGGTGTTGGGAGTAATATAGTGTAGTATTTAACACATACAGAAGTGAGGGAGAAAAAGAGAGATGCACTTACAGGAAATTGAGCTAAAGAGCTCTTCTGGATAGTGCTTGAGCGGTACAATTGTGCTCAAACGTTTGCATACCCTAGCAGAAATTGTGACATTTTGGCATTGATTTTGAAAAGTATTTGGGAGAGGTCGCCCAAACGGACCTAAAAGCTATACACACCAGAGCTAGGTGGATTAGCTCTGGACCATGTGAGTCTTCCATATAAGATTTTGCACCTTAAAATATATAATAAGGTTTTACACTATTGTCTACTATTTTTCTGTTTAAGGTATACTTGCTGGTTTACCAAAAATTTTCATCAAAGCCAATTAAGTAACTTGTTGAAGTATTTACGTTTAATATTGGAGCGCTCTGATAGTCTGAATATTGATGCAACTTAGAGTTGGTATGAATTGTTTATAATGCTGCTAACACACTCAGGAGCTGTAAGATGTGTCGACCTGGGGCCATCTACTGACCATCGAGTATTACTACAGCATTGTTTTACATTTTTTACCATCTTTACTTGGTTTTGGGTTTATAACCTAAATATTCATTCCATGATACTGCTCCACTCTTATTTATATATTAACTTGTTGAAGTATTGCACTAAACACAGATCTGTGCTCCACTGTTTTTTTATTGAAGAGTAGCTTTTATATTAAGAAAACATCAGAATCAATTATAATCTAATTTCGTAGTTTGTTTCTGACTGGATGATAATTGCTAATATGTATATATTTGATTGTATATCATAATATAATCTATATAAACTGATAAGTTATTACTCGTATCCCACTGGATAATGGTTTATCCCCTGTTTTATTATATGTTACTTTCTGTATTAATTACTATTATTATTATTATTATTATTATTATTGTTATTATTTTATCTGATTGTATAAATGTATACATTGTTATTTGAAAAATCTTCAATAAAAATATTTGAACAGACTTCAGTGAAAAACGCTGATTGAGTAGATTCCACATCTTTGGTTGATTAGATATTGCATTAAGAAGCAAGCATGCAAGTCTACATTATAAAGTGCTCTCTGAGTGTATGCGTATGCATATATAATTTTGTATTTAGTTTTACATTCAAATCAAGACACAGTACATTTTGAGAACAATCCCTACTTTTTTACAGTTCAGTTTCTCCTGGATGGCACTGGGTCATTTTTGATAATCTAGGGCATTTACACCTTATTGAATGATCCTGATTTAGTTGCTTCTACACGATGTCAGGGTATTTATATCGGCAGACATCTTGTACTATGATAGAAATTAAAAGTGTATATGCTGAGTCACTTTTGAACAGAGCAGACTCCATTTTGTTATTTTCAAGCTAACAAAAGACACAAGATTTCTATCTGTAAAACTAACCACTTTCCCAGAGCTAAAGGAATGCATAGTATATACAAACTAAGTGATAAGGAGAACAGGGGTTGGACAGACTGTCTAAAATGTTAATGGAATAGATGCATATCTAAACACAGACATTTGTGACAGAGGAGATTAAATAATAAAATTTTACTTTCTATATGTACAAGATCCCATTGTAAGTTACTGGTCAAAACTTAGTTATAACTGTCATATTAGAAATTATAGCAGAATTTGCTATTTATCTGGAAGGTAACCACACCTCCAGTGCTTCTGTTGGTCTATCAACTAGTGAATTTTCCCTTTAAAAGTTAAGACAAAGAGAGGAGAGGAGAGGAGAGGAGAGGAGAGGAGGAATTGGAAGTTTGGGGACTCCAACTCAGACATGCAGAGAAACCCAGGACAACATCTGAGACTAACACTCAACTCACAAACTCTTTGACACTTTCTAACCAACACTATTTTACACTCAGAAATTCCTACACACCTCCATGCAGAGAGACATCCAAATAAGTTCCTGAGACTATCTACCAATCGGATGAAATATCTACTCAACTGGTAATTATACTGGTTTCATTTAATTATTTAAATTAATTAAAATTTACTAATAGCATGATATATGACTGGATAAATCACGGTCAGATTTCCATATTTAAGAAATCTTAGTTAACTAAAGAATATATAGTTATAAACATTCCATTCTGCAGGTGGAATTAAGAATAATTATATATTAATGTGATAGTATCACATGTTAGCATACCGCTGTTTTTATCCAGGTGTATTGATTTGTTCTAAAATAAGATAAGATATCTTTTAGACAAATTAAATTCGGATTTTGTAAAAAACATGGTAGATTCTCTTATTGGATGGTTCCAGGAAATGACTAATGAACTGGTTTAAATGTTATTTTATTTAAAATTACATAAGAATAGATCTTAATTACCTAGTAGGACCTAGCCAGCATTGAAAGGGTTATTCAGTTGATCTAACTGTTAGCCAGGGTTTTATGGCCCTTCGCTGTGAAAAGCTTCACTTTTTGTCTGTAAGGATACCTCATAAATCGTGTAAGTCTTGACAGAAAATGCTGTTTACCCATTGAAACGTGTATACCCATTCCTTTGTATTGCATACCATTTTATACTGGATATTCATTGATTATTGTCACGCATGTTACATAATATTATTTGCTAATAATTGGTCATAATAAATAAATCTATTTTTATAACAAATTGTGATTTTATTTATATAAAAAATACTTTTCACTTAACACGATAACGATCTTTGGGATCTGAGAATTGAATTAGTGGGCAATTCTCACTGTTTACTATTATTATCCCATAAATATCCCCACAACGATTGGCTGACTAGATATTTCATTAAGAATCAAACATGTAAGTCTGCATTATAAAGTGCTCTCTGAGTCCATGTGCATGTATATATAACTTTTATTTTATTTATTTTTTACATTCCTACATACTTGACATTGCAAGTGTGCTGTGCAAAGCAATAGATTGATAGTGGAGCAGCCCAAGTTACTACATATCTCTACAACTAGTACATTTCAAGATAAAGGATGAATAAAGACATCTGGCAAAACACGGGACCATTTTTTCAAGGCATTATATAGATACATTATATGGATAATGCATTAAAACAATTATACAAAAAATTAAATTACTCCACCTCTCATTCAGTTTTTGGTATATGATCTTATGCCTTAATTGGTTACTCCAAGCACCATGACTACTTCAATGATTTGAAGTGGTCATGGTTCCTGTAATCTGTATGTGCAATGGTAAACTTCGCCTCCAGCAGCATTATAGGGGTGTCAACATCCAGCCTGGAACTAGGGCAGCAGTGGGTATGATTCTTGGAGTAAATCTTTAAACGCTTTGCTGGCAGTTCCACTCCTCATGTGTAACCGAGTTCCCAACCCACATTTCCACTTACACCATAGAATGAGTGGAACAGCTCAATACATTGAGAGACGTTATACTGTACCTGTCTGCAATCAACCAGCTCAGTTTTGTGCATGGCTCTACTACATCTGGAGAAGAGCGATTGATCCTTCCTACTTGTGCATGTAACATGTGCACACAGCATGCACAAATTAAACAAGAGTGATAGTTTGAAGGTGTGACAGAGCTCCCATACTCTAACTGAGTACCTCCGACAAGTCTGCTGCCTCACCGCTACCTGGAGCGCTGCAGACCCAGTTGCCGAAGTTTGACTGGGATCACTGAAGGCCTTTTCCACCCTGAACCAGGCTACTTTGATTATAGCCCTGGAATCCCCTTCTTCACCAGTGCAGTGATGATACGATACCTTCCTGGAAGGAGAGCTGCAGCCTAGTTGGGTGGAAAAGCTCCAGAGGGACCCCAGTCAAGCCTTGGCAACTGGGGTTGAAGTGCTCCAGGATCCCAGCAAGCAACTAGCAAGTGAACTGGGTGGAGGTTCTCAGTCAGAGTACAGGAGTTCTGTCACAATACCCCCACAGCCTAATTTACTTACAATAGGGTTACCCAATGGCAGTATGGACTTGTGATAGTAACTAATTACAATGCATATCCCAAGCTAACCAATAGCAGTATGGACTTGGGAAGGCAACCAATCACACTACAAAGCTTACAACCAGTGTGAATGGAGCCCTGTACTTACCAGGAAGAGTGGGGACAGACCATAACAAGGGCTGAGGACCACATAATAGATTTAAAGGAGTGGCAGAACAGCCCATTTGAACTTGTCTCAAAGTGTCTCTGGAACAATGGGAGAACAATAAGACAGGAGAAGGGGGAGGGGAAAAGGCACATACAACCTGGACAATCATCACAATCAATACACAGGACCAAATCATAAGGGTAAACATATAGGCACACCTAACACAATATAAAACAGACAAAGGGTCTCTGGGCATTGGGATTCTGTTGTAATACAGCAAGAGTACAGGGCTTCTCACCCACAGCGACAACAACCCCTTTGAGTGGCTCCTGGGACCAGGCCCATAGTCTGTGGGCAGGAGGGTAGCCTTTTATGCCTCTCCAGGAAGCTGTGACATGGCAGCTTTTCTCACAGAAGGGGAAAGTAACAATTCTTACTGCTGTGTCAGAGCTGGGAGGGCTGTCATAAGGTGGCAGAGATTTTTATAAATTGCAACATTTCTAAGCCATTCTGAGCTGTCCAAGTTGGTAGAAAACACCATCCGCACCATAACCATTGCAGTAATGCAAAATTGTTGTGGTGCTTAGAATAAGCGTGATGATGGAGTTAAGATTGGCATTTGCCAGAAGGTGGAGTTCTGCAATAGCAATGTATGTGTGTAAAACACCAATCATTATTATTATATTTATAGAGCGCCGTCAAATTCCGCAGTGCTTTACAATGGGTGGACGAACAGACATGTAGTTGTAACCAGACAAGTTGGACACACAGGAACAGAGGGGTTGAGGGCCCTGCTCAATGAGCTTACATACTAGAGGAAGTGGGGTAAAATTACACAAAAAGCTAAGGATAGTATTAGACTAGTGACAGTTGCAGAAGAGGAATCAGTCAGGAGCTATTAACAGTTTAATTCATACGCTTTTATGAAGAAGTGGGTTTTTAACGATTTTTTGAAGGAGTGGAGACTGGGTGAGCATCTAATGGAGGAGGGAAACGAGTTCCACAGGAACGGTGCAGCCCTTGAGAAATCTTGAAGGCAAGCATCAGAGGTGGGAGTACGGACAGAAGATAGACGTAAGTCTTCAGCAGATCGTAAGGGCCTAGATGGGACATACTTGTGTATAAGGGAGGATAGATAGGTGGGAGCAGCATTATGCAGAGATTTGAAAGCAAGAACCAGAATTTAAAATTGAGCTTTATATTTTATAGGAAGCTGAAACTATTTGGTAAAACTTGAGGTTCTTGCTTCATTCTGTTCAGCATGAATGTTCTAATGAAGCCTTGGTGCTGTGCAGGGCAGGTAAATTAACAAATAAATCTTGGAAATTTTGTCTTTGTGATGGGTTCATGTGCCAGAAGGCTGTGTTTAAGTTAGCAACCTGTATGTTTAACTCCCCACAATTATGTGACAGGATAAACACTTTGGCAGAGAGGAAGTGGATGGAAAATGAAACAATTGAGAAAGATTCACGTAGATTCATATGGATTCATATGACTCCCTTTACAAAGTTCGCTGTTATGTAGGGAAGGATTAATCTCTGGAATTCCTCTGGTTTTCGTTTCTTGTCAGTGTGCAATTTCTGAGCTTGTTGTTTTACCTGTTAAAATAAATAAGACAATTTTAGGAAACAAAAAAAATAAAAAAATAAAATATATATATATACATATATCTACAGATCTTTGGTTTTTTTTTAATTCCAAGGGACACTCCTTGCATCTAAACTACAACGATTTAATGTAATTCAGAGGCATACCAGATTATTTGGTACCTGGGCCTGAATTGTCTGATGCAACCTTCAAGAAATTGTAATTCTTTTTACACGCCTTGTATGCTTCTTTGCACAATCTCACCCTCTTGGCTTTCTCTTTTGACCCCCTCACTTCCTTGTGTATCTCTCCTCTTCTGAACCTCTCATCTTTCCTGAAACATTCCCTCCCTTGTTTCTCTCTTGTAACTCACATGTGTCATCCTGTACCTTCCAGATCGTAGTGTGACCTGGCAAGGAATTAATAAGCTTGTCTGACAGGCCTGTCAGTGAAGTTCTAAACATACAGGTGGAGATAGGGGAAAATATGACATTAGATCCCCACACACTCACACAGCACTTCTGTTTGTAGGCTGGAGGTTCAATGAGAGACAGGGCAAACAAACATGCAGAACCATTGCCACTGTTTTTCTTGGTCTTTCTGCAATGAGTAACAAACTGAGAAAAGGATGACATGCACACCTCCTTCCTGCCTGTCATTCAGGTCTAACCACATGCCTTCAGGTGTTACTAATATAATCACTCTGATTTCTTTTTAATTTTAGATGTATACAGAGCTGTGGAGTATTTTGGCGCTTTATAAATGCCAGTAATAATAATAACAATGTTTTTGCAGTAACTGCAAAAACCACTTGCACCGGAAAACTCCATGTCTAACTTCCTTAAGAGAAGTTAGGAGACATATAAACACATGCACAAGCAGAAGATGACAGTGACAAAAAAAATAATATTAAATATAATATTTATATATAATATAAATAAAGTTGGTTTTCTCACTCCTCCCAGATGGTAATTTTGTGTATTCCCCATACTTGGGTCCTCAGCCATAGGTCTGGGAGTCTGAGGGTTCTGCGCACTATCTTCACAGTTCCTAGAACTTCACTCTTCTGGACAGAGATCTCAGATTTCTCATCTGGAATCTGCTGAAGCCACTCTCCCAACTTGAGGTTTACAGCCTTGACTGCTCCTATCACAACTGGGTCTAGTACTGCCTTTTCTTTCCACATCCTTTGTAGCTCATTTTCAGCCCTTTGTATTTGTCCAATGTGATGGCAGTCACCATCACTGTTGAAGGAAAATTTACACTTTTTGATGGTTACCCTGTGCCGAGTATAGGTGTAGGGTGTGTACAATGTATTTGTTTGTTTTTAAGCTATTTTCTTACCCCTTCTCATTGTTTTCCCAGGAGGGCATTGTCCCATTGTTCCAGGGACACAAGTTCAAACTGGCCCAACTACCAATCATTTTAATCCCCCATGTGGTTCTCAGCCCTTGCTATTGTCTGTCCCCACCTTTCCTGGTAATTACATGGCTCCATTCACACTGGTTATAAGTTTTGTAGTTTGATTAGTTGCTATCCCAAGTCCATACTGCTATTGCTTAGCTTGGGATATGCAGTGTAATTAGTTACTATCCCAAGCCCATACTGCCATTGGGTATCACTGTAACCCTATTGCAAGTAAATGAGGCTTTGGGGTATAAGTAGATTTGCTGTTTTTAATAAAGTTTGATTGTTCTCCCCTTCTCTAAGTGTTGTCTAATGCTTGGGGAGGTGGGCTATAATCCTCACAGCAGCATTTCCTCCAACCTGAGAGGACTTCAGCTGAGATCCTTGCTTGGAGTATTGGAGCATCACTACATCCACCTACTTGTGTTCTATCTTCCTGATATTATGGTCGTTGGGTGTTGCCACATCCACCACCACTGCAGTCTTCCATTTAGAAGTGGTACTTAACCCATACAACGAGCTGACCTGGGTCTTTCGCTCGAGCTGCATGTGGCTCAAGCACTCCTGCATCCACACGAGCCGCATGCCGCTCGATCATTTGCTAATACTGAGCAGTCCGTGTGCCCCGACCGTAACGAACGGTCTCATGGCCCACCGGTGGTAATTAAGAGCGGTGCAAGCATGCTCCTAAAGGGGCAATGGGAGCCCCAGGTAGTTTCAGGCTCCCATTTGTCCAAGTCATTCCAGCTCCCCCATCATTATTATTATTATTATTATTGATAGTTATATAACGCCAACTTATTTCACAATAAGCTGAATGGGGAGATTTAACGATAAATTAGACCTTTACAAAATGATACAGGAACAATAGGTAGATGAGGACCCATGCTGAGTATGCATCTTGAATCCTGTCTGGTGTGATATACCTTTGCTTCTCTTGGGTGCTGTTCCTGTGCTGCTAGGATTAGTGCTGTCTTTTAGTCCTGCTTTTTCCTGATAGGATTTTGGGTCATATGAGTCATATTTACTATCTGCAAATGAACCTTGTCTATCTGTTGTTGTCTCAACTATTCCTTTGTCAGTCCATCTTAGGGAGCCATTTTGATGATGAAATTGTGGATGCTTCATGGTTTAGGCAGGACTGTGATTTTGACACTCATCCTCTTTAGGCAGAGAATTCCACATCTTTCTTGTTATTACTGTAAATAACCCTTTCTTCCAGTCTCAATAGATGACATCTTGTCACCTTTGTACCTACCCTGTATATATTTGTATAGTGCTATCATATCACATCTGAGGTATGTTGCACCTTTTTTCTTAAGAAAAATTTCCAGTTTTTCTAGCCTTTCTTCATAACTAATGTTTTCCATTCCCCTTACTAGTTTGTAGCCCACCTCTGTACTTTTTCTAGTTCTACAATATCCTTCTGTGGCGAAAGCCACTTCACCACTGGGGTTTGGATGGGACTACTTGCCAGCCTTTTACCCTGTGATTATGGCCCCTTTAATTTATTGTGGTGGAGAGACCCTATCAAGTGGAGTGTGCAGCCTATTTACCTCCAAGGCTGGTAGTTAACCGCAGCCAAATTGTTGAACGGCTGGGTGGTCGCTGTTCGTATAGTCGAACACGTAGCGGTGGCCATCTTGTTTATTTGAACGTGTTCAGCTCTGTTTTGTCGTTGAGTTCATGGAACTCAAATCAGACATGCGGCGGCACGAACACCGCTGAACAGTTACTTTCCATGGAACTACGGCTATTCGAACGGGAGTCAAAATGTTCCGTGGGCAGAAACCCATGAACAAGGGACATATACTGACTACATTCATGAATGGCTACGTTCGGTAATTTGAACGGTATTTTGAGTATTTGAAATAGACTGGCCGCACAGCCTGATTCTCTGGAACTATTTTGGGCATGAAACCAGGCATGCGGTTGGTCAAAAAGAGGCTTCCAGGAATTTTCTGAACCACCTGCTCTGATCTGGGTGATTTTTGGATATGTTGGTCACCCATATCAGGGCTATCAGGGGATGTGACATTTATGGGGATATGTTGTGTTTTGGGGTACTTTTCATACTTTGTAAAAATGTGTGTTTTTCTGCCTGGAGATAATTGAGTTACATACAGGACTTGACTCAATAATCTCCCAGGATGAGGGGAGGGATTGTGTGTAATGTATGGGAGTGTCACCTACTGTACTGCATTATCATTGGCTTGTACCAATTGTCATCCTGTTCCCCACAAGGTCCACGTGGGTGTTCCCTTGCATGGGGACTTGCATAAAAGGCCAGCTGTGGCTCCCATTAAACAATATGCTTTATCCTTCATGAAGTCTTGGCTCATGTTTGGGGGATTACATACACTCTGGGGATTGCTATATCACAATACTCCCCTGAGTATAATCACTAGCTCTTTTAAGAGCTGTTCCTGCCATGCTCTCTGGAGTAGGAGAGGTCTACCTGCTGGAAGCTGGATCACGGTCTTGGGTCCAGGGTGGGTGGAGGACGGCGAGACCACAACCAAGCTCGTGGAGTCTACAGTGCTTATGGTGTCTGGTGGAGTGCTTGGAGCACTCAGTGAGCACTAGGAGCATCGACTGACGGAGGCACCAGGTCGGGGCACCAGGCGGTCTGTCGCACCTTCTTAAAAAATTGGTGCCAAAATTGCACCAGATATTCAAGGTAGAGTTTTGCCATTGATTTGTAAAGAGGCAAAATTATAATTGGATCACTTAAATCAAAACCCCTTTTATGCATTAACGCACTTCACTAGCTTTTGCAATGATAGACCGGTGTTTCATACTGTTTCCTAGTTTATGATCTATAATGGTTACCAAGTCCTCTTCATTTAATGTTGTCCATAACTCAACCCCATTTAATGTGTAAATGACTTGTGGACTCCTTATTCCAAAATGCATTATTGTGCATTGATCTGTATTGAATCTCATCTGCCACTTGCCTACCCATTCCCCAATTTATTTAAATCCCTCTGTAGAGAACTTATATCCTGTTCAGACTGTATTTTCTTATCTAGTTTTGTGTCATGTACAAATTACTTTTAATGTCCACTTCAAGATCATCCAAAAACTATCTGTGAGGATATTTATGGGGTGATACATATTAGAAATATTATCATAAAAATTATCAAAAATGAATTTAATATTTTTATTATATCTGTGTTGTTTCCCTTGATGGATTTAAAGCAAAGAGTTACCTACTATTTTAACTCTTATAGACCCTAGAGAATTAGTATTTCACACATTAATCACAAATGATTATACAAATATAATTTATTGTGACAAATAATTAATAATAATAATAAGTAACATGTGTGACAATAATCAGTAAATATTTAGGTATAACATTAGTATGCAATATTGCAGCAGTTATGACACAATTACAGATAGCTCAATATCCACATAGATGCAATTTTCAACACGATTTACTACAGAAAACTTCAGCTTTGCTAGAATTCCTTAACACAGAACACAGCATCTCACAGCACAGCTTCCAGCCATAACTTTTACTGTCAGTTTGTATCACACTAGTAACTCACTCACTGCTGGCTACAATTCTCACAGGAAACATACCTTTAATATTGTAATTAACAAATACAATATTTTTTCACACAAGTAATCAGTTTAATATTCATTTCCCATCCAGTAACCCAAAAAAATAATGCAACCAAAATGTTACATTGCAGATGATTAATTTTTCTGATTAAAGGGACACTATAGACACCAGAACAACTACAGCTTAATGTAGTTGTTCTGGTGAGTATAATAGCTCCCTTCAGGCATTTTCATGAGAAAAGGCAGTGTTTACATTGCCCCTAGGGACATCTCCAAGTGGCCACTCCTTAGATGGCCACTGGAGGGGCTTCCTGCTCAGGGCTGCACATTAAGCAGCCCTGCTATTCAGAGTCGCCATGCTCTGCATGGGCTAAGGGGGGGCAAGCCACCTAAATGGTGGGTTTTCACTATAGGGTTAGGAATACATGTTTGTGTTCCTGACCCTATAGTGATCCTTTAAAGATTAGCTATCCTTACATTCAGATAAGTCAAAATCTCTGGATAATAGCTTGATATGTACTGGAGACCGTATCTTCAGAAGGATATTGATACCTTAGAGAGAGTTCAGAGAAGGGCTACTAAACTGGTTCATGGATTGCAGGATAAAACTTACCAGGAAAGGTTAAAGGATCTTAACATGTATAGCTTGGAGGAAAGACGAGACAGGGGGGAATATGATAGAAACATTTAAATATATAAAGGGAATCAACACAGTAAAGGAGGAGACTATATTTAAAAGAAGAAAAACTACCACAACAAGAGGACATAGTCTTAAATTAGAGGGACAAAGGTTTAAAAATAATATCAGGAAGTATTACTTTACTGAGAGGGTAGTGGATGCATGGAATAGCCTTCCAGCTGAAGTGGTAGAGGTTAACACAGTAAAGGAGTTTAAGCATGCGTGGGATAGGCATTAGGCTATCCTAACTATAAGATAAGGCCAGGGACTAATGAAAGTATTTAGAAAATTGGGCAGACTAGATGGGCCGAATGGTTCTTATCTGCCGTCACATTCTATGTTTCTATGTTTCTATACTTGACAAATTACCAGTAAATATATTGTTCATTTATTCCACCTGCAGGAATGGAATGTGGAACCCTGTATTTCCACAGCTAATTATGATTTCAAAAGTTAGAAATATGATCAGGCTTTTATTCATGTATATTTCTGCTTTTAGTAAAATTAATTAATTAAAATTAAATTAAATGAGACCAGCATATTTACCAGCTTTCTTGGTAGAAATTCCTTAGGCTTGGAGATATATGCCGTGAATGGTGGATGCAAGTATGAGTAGTGAATTGTGGGATGTTGTAAAGATAGGAGAGTTCTGATTATTTAAAGAATTTCAGATTCAGTTGGAAAAGACAGTGTTAGATTAAGTATTCAAAGTTCCAGAATTTAGTTGGAAGAGGTACAGAGAGTTAGCTGTGCCCAGCTTTTGGTTAATGATCAAAGACCTCTTGTCTCTGGCTCACCTCAATTTTTAAGTAAGAGCTTCCCTTAACTTTCTTTACGTCACTAATTTAAAGTGACCAGAAAAAAAAAGAATCCTGAATATTTAAAAACAGTTGTATGGATATTTCTACACTATGCTCCCTAAGCATGCATGGGGCTTTTGGCCCTCGGCGAAAAATAGTAAGTTAAGATCTGATTTTAAATGAAACCATTTTATCTTGTTGGTTGTGCGAGTCATAGACAGGGGAGGTGTGGCTAGGGCAGCATAAGCTGTTTTGATGCCTACAGTGTCCATTTAAGAAAATAGGCATGGTTGTGTATTCTTAATAATAGGAAACAAATGAAGAGGTTGTGATGCTGGACAGGCCGACACCAGTACCTCAGAAAGGTTACTTTAGCCCGCCCTTACTTTAGTCAGTGGGGGGATTTTTTATCCGTTACGAGCTGTCTTCACTATTGGATGGTTGTAGGGGGGCCCAATTCACCTTCACAGGTAGTTTAGTGAGCACACCTAGCCACTAGCAATCACTTGCAACATCGATCTGTCACTTCTTATTTTTCCTCAACAAAAAAGAGAGGTTTCTCAGTACTAACAACCCTTGAGAGGTTACTATAAGAATCCTACTGACCTTTAAGGGTTTGTACTAGTGACTGTATTTTAGCCCGGTTGGGTGTCGGTACCAGAACCACTGCTAGGCACCCTCTGCCCCATTAGGACGATCTTCATACGAGCCACAGACAGTGTACATACACTGGAAGTCCTGTATGGACTATATTATTTCTAGATACCTCTAGATTTTATACCACTGCTGTAGGGGACCTGTATGGCTTGATTTTTTTATCCTTTTCATGTATATGCATTATTAGCCATTTGGGAACCTATTCAATTTCATGTGGTGCTCTGGAACAAATTACCCAGGTTTTATAAAAAGGTACATATTTTCACTTTATCACAGTTTTTTCACATTTATGGTGCGTTAGGATATGGATATTTAGTATAATTTATTATTTTTTCTTTTCCCCTTTTTCCATAATAAAGGTTCTTTCCATGTTTATGTAACTTTTACATTAGGAGGTATTTGTGAATGAGAGTGGGTCCCACCGCTAGTGAGTGGGTCTCCACCCCATTCATTCATTTGTTCCATATATTCTTACTAATAGCCTTTGAAATACACACAAAGCTAAACTCCTGATAGTGTTCTTTTAAGTCAAGTTTACTGTGGTAAAGGACTAAAACATGATACTACATCAATGAGAATGAATAACTCATCACATGCAAAGTTACTGAGAGAATATATAAACAGTTGCAATTGTTTTGTAATTATGTGACAATACCTTTTGACGCAATTATTTGATATATGAAGAATGATAGTTGAATTACTGGATATATGAAGTATGACTCACCTCTTGTAAAGGCAAGATACAGAGTGACAACTATCGCCATTGCCAGAAAACCGAGTAATATGTACTCCAAAATCATACTCCAAAAGACAAATAAGTAAAGAGTCAGGTTACACCGCAACGTTTGTGAATAGTAGAGTGGGAAAACCCACAGACTACCTGCAAATTAAGAAAGAAAACCATGAATCATTGGAAAAATGGAAATAAAAGAAAATTAAAAAGATTATACTGTGGCGATATACCCTCCAAAAGATTGGTTACTACCACCTAGGTTGTCCCTTCCAAGTTTTGAAATGCTCCAAAGTGATTATACCCCCCTGCACAGGTTACTGCTGTCTCACCCAAACAGTAGTCGAGACTTAGTGAGTAAGAGCTGATTTTAATGAACACAACACATGTATATATAGGAATAATAACAACAGGGGGTCATCAAACAAAAAATACAAGTCACTCCTTGGAGTTTTGGTGTCTAAGACACAATAAGGTCAAGAACCCATAATTTAATCACCTGCCTGACACCAAGATCCCTTGCACAATAGCTATTGTATAATAAACTAATTATCTTCCCTTCTGTTTTTCCTTTTATATACACAGATATGCTAACACAATCACGTCCCATAATAAAATAAATCTCCTAAAACATATATAATACTATAGAGCAGACAAAAGGGGTCTCTGGAACAATGGGAAAACTCCCTTCTGGGACAACAACAAGGAAAAGGGAGTGGGAGAATAACTAACAAACAAATACATTACACACCATGTAACTATTATGGGCACAGGTTGACTAAAACATAGGAGTAATCTGGGAACCTACATAAAGTGTCTGTCTTCATCTCCCAGTGATGGTGACTACCGTCACACATAATTTCATTTAGGTTCAAGGTTTAATTTTGTTTGAGTAACTGGGCACCATCAGCAGGTAATCTTTCAAACCAGTTTAACCAGTTTGACACTTATCTTGCTGTGTCCAACCCGAAATCCTTGTGTTCTTAGTTGGCCTGATAAACTGGAATTTCATACTTTAGCATTATTGTACTAACTCATTCCAGATTTGAATAGAATTCATTGGCTGAGAGCCACCATTTGACTCTCTCAGCCAATTAATATGGTTTAAACCTGGTATAAACTAGTATGACAATGCGGATGGGTGATCTTTTGCTTTATCATTTCAACTTGGACCAGAAGCAGTTCAAGCACCAACACAACAAAAGGGAAACCACGTGAAAACTGTGTGACTAATTACCAGCAGATGGCTCCCGGGGGCTCCTGACAGCATAATCATTACAGCATGCAACAGTGGTTACCATTCCTAAAATATCCATCTACAAAGACAGTCTCATGCAAGAGCAAAGACAGGGACAGACTGGGAACAATATTAAAAGGTGGAGACACATGAAGGGTCTTAACAGACACAAAAGGGAGGTTAAGGGACATACAAATGGGTGCTAAGAGAGACAAAGTGCAGTGGAGCAATACCAAAAATATTTAAAAGGGGTTGGGTTGCCAACACACAATTCCACCCAAGTTGCCGTATTACCTAGGTATGCTTCCGGACTGACATTTAGCCTATAAAACAGATATTAGCAACCATATTAAAAGAAACATGGACTAATGTACTTCAATAAATACAAGGAACCAGATGTAGTAACAGTTAAACACTAATTCCAGCTCATAGCCACACACCAAAGGCCATGTAAGAGTTATATAGTGAAATGTTCAATCCATTCAACTCACTCAGCCTGTGAGTGAGCAAGTACTAAATGATTTTTCTTCTTGTCAGAAGCCCAACTACGTGTGAATACAGGTATTTATTTGTGAACAATGTCAGTGTGTTTAAATGCAGATATACATATATGTGGAGGGCGATTGCACAATTCTTAATTGATCCGGGCGCTATTTTGCCACCTTAAGTGCTTGGACCAGTGTCCTGTGTGTTTTTACTGAATTTCGGGGGTGTTTTATATTAGTCACTTTGTATCCGGGAGATAATTAGTTTGGTAGTCAGCAACTCAATTATCTCTCAGACACAGAGGCACCTGGTCGGGCACTGTATGCATACAATGAAGACCCCATGCTAGGGGTCTGTGCATAAAAGGTTGCATTCAGCTCAATAAAATCAGTTGTACTCCCAGAACTATGGGTCGTTTAGTTACTGGGTGGAATAGAGCCAGGGCCGGACTGGGAATTAAAAGCAGCCCTGGAAAAAAAATATTTACCAGCCCCATAATGCGTCGCGCCAGCATAGTGTGCAGATACAGAGGTCGAACAGATAACTTAAAATTAAAAAGTACTTCAACGTAAAAAGCGCACTCATAGGCTTCAAAATAAACAAAAGTGCAGATTTATTTTAAGCAGACGTGCCTTTGCATGTAATCAATTTTTCAGTCCGACTCCCTTGACATATTAAGGAAAGCTTGTTAATGGGACTGAAATGGTGAATGTATGTAGGGCACAACTGTAAAAAATGTTTATTATTATTATTATTATGATATTTATAGAGCGCCGTCAAATTCCGCAGCACTTTACAATGGGTGGACGAATAGACATGTAGTTGTAACCAGACAAGTTGGACACACAGGAACAGAGGGGTTGAGGGCCCTGCTCAATGAGCTTACATGCTAGAGGGAGTGGGGTAAAATGACACAAAAAGGTAAGGATAGTATTAGACTAATGACAGTTGCAGAAGAGGAATCAGTCAGGAGCTATTAACAGTTTAATTGATACGCTTTTATGATGAAGTGGGTTTTTAACGATTTTTTGAAGGAGTGGAGACTGGGTGAGCATCTAAGTTCCACAGGAACGGTGCAGCCCTCGAGAAAACTTGAAGGCAAGCATCAGAGGTGGTAGTACGGACAGAAGATAGACGTAAGACTTCAGCAGATCATAAGGGCCTAGACAGGACATACTTGTGTATAAGGGAGGATAGATAGGTGGGAGCAGCATTATGTAGAGATTTGAAAGCAAGAACCAGAATTTTAAATTGAGCTCTATATTTTATAGGAAGCCAGTGTAGGGACTGACAGAAGGGTGAGGCATGGGAGGTGCGGGCGGACAGGAAGATGAGCCTCGCCGCTGCATTCATTATGGACTGTAACGGCGCTAGTTGGGAGCATGTAAAACCACTGAGAAGCGGATTACAGTAGTCAAGGCGAGAAAGGACCGTGGAATGGACCAACACCTTAGTCACATCTGGCGTTAAGTAGAGGCGGATGCGCGCAATGTTTTTGAGATGGAAATGACAGGATTTGGCGATAGATTGAACATGAGGCTTGAAGGAGAGGTCGGAGTCAAAGACAGGGGAGGGCTGGCAGCCTTAGGCCTGGGGGTAAAACCAGTCAAGTGGCCCATTGCACCACCAAATCAGTTCACCATCCATGCCCACCTGGTTTTATAACGGATATTGATGTTATGCTAATCAGTAGCTCTTTGCCATACCCGCTCCTTCACGGCTCTGACTTTCAATGTTGTCAGAGCGCAGGCTGAGAATCTCTGAGCCTGTGCTCTGACTCACTAACTGAGCGCCAGAACCATAAGGGAGAGGATATAATCTGACTGCACCTACTGCTGGTGCGCATCAGTGGACCACCAGCGAATCATTTAAATTGAATATGCTGGGGTCCCCAACTTGTGAGCTGTGTTGGCCGCCGGGCACCTCTGTTGTCATGGCACCCTGCATGACCGCACAGCTTGCACACCCCAACGGCTGGCCCTGCTGACACATACTGATGTTACTACTTAGAAATCCCTCAATATTAATACAGACATCAGAGTAAATACCAATAAACTGTGCAAACAGAGCTGATCCCCCCAAAGATTTGCTTAATGGATTTGTTGTAAGATTAAATCATGCCTCCTCCTCTCCCTCTCCTATGCGCTGCGCTGTAGGCTGGGAGGAAGTGAAGAGTAATCACATTCTCTCAGCACAGCGCCACCTGTGGCTGCATGGGGAACAGCTGTTTAATGTAATGCTTGCAGGACGGCCACCTGCCGCAGAACCTCTTAGTTCCCATCGCTGCAAAGGGCTCCAGGCACTGCTTGCTGTAACTGTGAGCCACTGTAAATTAGGGGCAGAGGGCACTTGCACTGCGGTAAAGACAGGTCTGAGCAGGAGGAGAGTGCAGTGCAATCCCCTCCTGTGGGTCACCAGTAGACTGGTGCACCTGCCCAGGATCAGAGCCGGTGCAAGGATTTTTGCTGCCCTAGGCAAAGGAAAAATTAGCTGCCCCCCCATGTGACATCACAATGCCCCACCTATATAATCTGCCATATGAACTAATGCCAAAGCTGCACACAGTGTGTGTTTACATTAAAAAACTTGCAGGGACAGGCTATAGACACCAGAACCACTTCATTAAGCTATAGTGTCCCTTTAATGTGAGGTAAATTATAGATTAGTGTCACTAATAATATACTAGATTGCCTACTTACAACCAGATGAGGATGATAATGGGCTGCGGTTTGGCTCGACTGGTCTGGTGTAGAAGAGGATCTCTGAAGGCTGTTTGTAATTGTGGTCACAAAATTCAAAGTTCTAGTAGAATGGGAAGCAGCTCCATTTTTTGGGGGCCCCTTAAACAGCTCAAGGTCTGGGTCCCAGGGCCTGACGGTGAGTATGCCCATAAGGCCCACCTAAAAGTCCACCTACATGTTCCACCCATGAGTTCGCTCACAGGGAGTGGAGTGTGTAGGGGATGTGTTATGTGTTATTGTAGAGGATCTAATGTGTGTGCTTATGGTATGTAGTGTATAGGGATACCAGTTTGTGTAGGTGATGCAGTGTATTTGTAGTGGAGGCAGTGTGTGTTTGTGTATAAGCGATGTATTGTGTGAATCTGTGTTTGTATGCATAAGGGATGCAAGGTGTGTGTCTGTAGTGTGTGCATTGAGTGTGTGTATGAAATGCATTGTGTTTCTGTGTATATGTAAGAGAAGCAGTGTGTGTGTTTGCATGTGTGTGTAAGGGTTTGCATTGTGTGTTTCTGTGTATGTGTGCAAAGGATGCATTGTCTTTGTGT